TCCTCTCCTCTCATTCTCACATATTTGTCAAAAAACTTGATTCCTTCAATAACAAATATTTCAGTGCAAGAAACTGCCAAGGTCACATCATACTTTTTACAACACTCTTTTTTGCTTGTTATCTTTGGTTAGGTTTTTCATTAATTGTCTCCAGTCTGTTCAGATACCCTTGGATTGATAGTACAGACAGCTTTTTCCGTGGCTACTTTTTTAGCTGTTTGTATTAGAAGAGATCATGAGAGTTTAGTTCTGGGAAACCTTTGGCAGAAACAGACCCAACGATATGAAAGAGATCTTTGTGAAAGGAAGAGATATTTAGAAAGTCTTAGCTGGGACTGAGTGTGGAGTTAAGGCCAAGCCTCCAGTGCCTTCCCCTCCTGTGCTCTCTCACTCAGCCAGGAGAAGACACAGACTGCCTGCCTGTCTTGTTCTCTTGTCTCTGGGTTTCTGTCTTTCTCAAACACAGTCTCTGTACTGTCTGTCCTTATCTTTCTTCCTTTTCTCAACCCACCTCTCTCCAACTTTCTGCACCCACAAAAGCTTCTCTGTGTCTTTGAAAAAGCACTGTTTGAACTCTTGTTTAGCGCTATGATTCACAACTAGTATGGCAGCCTGCAAGGGCCTGCAACCTGCTGTGCTCAATGGAACACATTTAGTTCTGCCCTGATATTCTCTTTCAAAACTTTAAACTAGACTTAAAATAAGCAGCACTTTGTCAGAGAAAAGTTAGTCATTAGTCATTGTGGTTAAGTGCTTTGCTCCAGGGCACATTAGTCACTGACAGAGCAGCACATTTTCATATTCATTTTACTTGAACTAATCTCTAATGGTTCAGGATTCACATGCAACCATTTTAGTAACTCCTAAGCCTTAAACCAAAGTAATGCCAACCTCTTACACTTGTTTATGCACAGGGTAATAAGCAGTTAAACCAAAGCATAATTTTCTCTCTAGATATCTCACTTGAATAGATATAGCATCTGCATAAAGGATGTTTAGTATGTTAAACATAATAAAATACACTCAGTTGCCAGTTCATTACGTCCACACATGTAAAACTAATGCAGCCTAATTCGAGAGTCATGCACTATGCCTCCATGAATATTTGGTAATGGTAAATAGTAAATGGACCTGTACTTGTATAGTGCCTTTCTAGTCTTCCGACCACTCAAAGCGCTTTCACACTTCGTGCCACATTCACCCTTTCACACATTCACACAATGATGGCAAAGCCCATCGAACAGAAACTAATGCATTCATACACATTCACACACTGATGCACGGCATCGGGAGCAATTCAGGGTTCAGTATCTTGCTCAAGGATACTTCGACATGTGGAATATTTATTCTACCTTTGTTGATATTTATTGGGTGGACCACAATATGAGGAGAACAGATAAGTATAAGACAATATAATTCAACAGCACCACAAAAAATGCATCATGCCTCTAAAAATCTGACCGTTTCACTGCACTGTATACACATAGTGTGTGCACAATTATATTTGACTTTCTTATCCCCAAAATCATTAAAATCTTTCATGACCTCATTATAATTGCCAATCCATTTGACTATTGGTAACTTTATTTGTCAACATTACCTATAAACCTAAAGCTCCTTAAAACCAAAATCAACAATGACCTTCTAACTGTATAATTTAGGTTATTATGTACATACATTTTTTTGCTGCTTTTATGTTGTCTTTGTGTAAAGTGTCTTTGAGTATCCAGAATTATTATTATTATTATTATTAATACTAAGAATCCAAAATGAGTAGAAATTTGATTGAATCCAAATTCAAATTTTCTTATTTCTCCAACTCCTGATATTGGGTTTTAACTAGGAGGGGTTTTGCTCAGTTGCCAGATAGGTTCCCCCCCCCCATCCACCAGATGCACTTTTTTCATCATGCTGTTTAAGTGCCAGATTTAGTTTTTTCGATATGTATGTATTTTTATTGACAAATCCGTTTTATTTTTTTGCTCATCTGTGACTCAAATCAGATTTTTTCATGACAGTGTGAACAGTCCAAATCAAATTAAATTTTTTCAGTTCTATTTCAGACCAATTTCATAATGTTCAAATCAGATTCAGAATTCAGATGACTTTTACATCACTCTACATCGGCATTGTAATGAAGGGATACTTCCGTACAATAACCTTAATTTAATTCAATTGGAATCTGATATGGGCCACATTTAAAAAATAATGTTGACAGCCAAACAAAAAAACAATAAATCAGAATTGATCACTAGGCTTGCAGTGGAAAAGAGAAAGTTGACTAAGGCTTGCTCAACTGTTATTGGAGCAAAAAAGAGAGCGGGGCATAGGACGGTCATTTACATAATAATTTGCAGTGCATAATCATTTGGGGCGGGTGTGGCTCAGAGGTAGAGCAGGTCGTCCACTAGGTTGTTGGTTCGATCCCCGCATGCATGTCGAATTATCCTTGAGCAAGATACTGAACCCCAAATTTGCTTCCGATGCTGTATGTGAATCAATATGTGAATGTGAACGAATGAGTTAGCTTCTGTTCAATGGACGTTATCATCACTGGGTGACAGGGTAAATGTGACATGTAGTGTAAAAGTGCTTTGAGTGGTCGGAAGACTAGAAAGGTGCTATACAAGTACAGGTCCATATACCATTTACCAAAAACAAGCTGTCCTGCTTCATTGTCATTCATGGCACAAAGAAAACACACAAAATGAGTTGCTGTCATCAGTATGCTATAGACATAGGCTCTAAGTCCCTTCTGTGTACTTCACTCATACTCATTCTCTCTTCCCTTCCTTTCTTACTCCCTCCTCTCTCTCTGCCCTCTCTCCCTCTGTCTGTCTCAGCCACAGTAAGATGAAGATCAGTGTGCGTGTCACATCCTCTCTGTCCCAACAGAGTCCGGTGTGTCTCTACATGTTCTCCCACACACTCACACTCACACCCAGTGTGTATAATTAGATTACTGGTTACTGGGGCTTTCTGTCAGCTGTCAATCACAGTGACTGTAGCTGAGCTCAAGGTCACACTGTGTGAGGAGGACATATTAAAAAATTACAAACACATTGTTAGATGTGTTCATCATTACAGAGGCAGGTTATGCAAACAGCTTTCAGACCTGCAAAATTATTATTATTATTATTTTGTGGCTCAGAGCAGAGCGGGTCGTTCCTTAATCAGAAGGTTGTGGGTTCGATCCCCGGCTCCTGGTGCCACATGTCGAAGTATCCTTGAGCAAGATACTGAACCCCAAATTGCTCCCGATGCCGTGCATCGGTGTGTGAATGTGTATGAATGTTAGTTTCTGTTCGATGGACTTTGCCATCACTGAGTGAATGTGTGTGAAAGGGTGAATGTGGCACGTAGTGTAAAAGCGCTTTGAGTGGTCGGAAGACTAGAAAGGCACTATACAAGTACAGGTCCATTTACCATTTATTTTTGGGGGCTTTTATTGCCTTTATGATAGTGACAGCTGAAGATAGACAGGAAAGGGGGCAGACAGAGGGGATGACACGCAGCAATGGGCCACAGGTCAGATTCAAACCCTGGGCCACTGCACCAAGGACTCAGCCTTGGTACATGGGTCGCCAGCTCTAACCACTGAGCTAACTGGGCGCCCCGCAAAATTAATTTTAAAATAAAAAAACAGAGATCCCAAAGTGTGTAAAGATACTAAATGCAAGGCTGCATTCAATATTGTAACATACATGTAGAATATTTCATTTTTATGCAATGTTTCAGTTCCACACCATTAAGCACCAGATGACATCATCCTGGAACAGATTATATGTGGCTGTGTCCAAAATCCTCCATTCACTGTACACTATCTCGGAAGTTTTATGTGTAGCAAGCTGTAAATAACCTGTCAGTGTACAAGATCATCAACTCAGTTGACAGTAGGCTATAGGATGGACTATCCAGAATAAATAGACGTGCAACATGAATGCGTATTTTCACAAATGAATAAATACAAAGTACTTTGTGGCTATTTGTGCTGCTCTGCTCACGTTAACATGGATTTGTCTCGTGCCTATTGTCATAAGGGAAAACTAACTATACTACATTGAAAATAAAACAGCTTTTGGAGCTCTGGAAATGCCACCCAATATCAATCAATTTTCTTTCTCACAATGATTCAAATATATTTGATTAGGAGAGCTGAATTACAGATAAAACTGAGACACACTGCTTCTGGTACACATCTGCAAAACATTGATATTTACAATATGTATATACACCGATCAGCAACAACATTATAAGCACTCACAGGTGAAGTGAGTAACACTGATAAAGTTGATGGATTTGAGCAACTTTGACAAGGGCAACATTTTGATGACTGGGTCAGAGCATCTCCAGAACTGCAGCTCTTGTGGGGTGTTACCGGTCTGCAAGCTCCTGTAGCTCAAACTGCCGAAAAAGTTAATGCTGGCTCTGATAGAAAGGACACAGAACAGACAGTGCATTGCAGTTTATTTCGATGTGTTGTATATACATCACTTGCCGCATTCAATTAAATGCAAATTTTCTTGATGTCTGGTTCGTCATTTTAGACATTACCTAAAACTTAACTTGACCCAGTGGAAGGTCTGTGGGTGCTGAGGAGCTCAAGCACCCTCCTAAAAGCTAAAGTATCATTCAAACACTGACATATAAGAGTTAGCAGAAGATTAGCAGCGCTAAAGTTAAAAAAAAACTAAAGGTCCAGTTATCTTACATGGCGTTTCACTATGGTGAATCCATGGATAATAGTAACTGATTGGGGTTTTTTTTAGGCAGTTTTTGTATTTAGTAATATAACTGAACTAAAACTGGCCTTAACAGTAAAATTCAACAAAACAAGGCAAAAAAGAAAGAGGAAAATTGCTACCTGATACTCTGGAATGAACAAATGTTTCAAACATAATTTTTGCAAATGTTCGGAGTAAAGAAATGCATGTTTTTTAGACCTCAGGGTACACAGTGTATTAATGAACAACACATGATGTAACTCTTCTCTCATGTAGCTGTTTTGAAGATGATGAGCCTCCATGTGTCGAGGAGATTGAGTATTCCACAGACTGTCCAGCACTGAAAGGTACTGATCTGGATTCAGATGTCAACAGCAACATGGCCAATTTCTGACGGAGAGGGAGAGGGCAACGAAGGACACAGGGAAGCAAGAAATCGGCAAGGCAGCATTGGCCAATCACAGCAGCCAAGCATGAAGAGCTGCCTATTCCCTCGCCTGATCAAACAGGCTTCCATCAAGACACTCGGTGAGAAAAGAAACACGTGTAATGGCTTGAGCATCGCCAATGGAGAAATCACGAGTTAAAGGGATATTTTAAAATGTTTGAATTTTGTTTTCTTACTAGAGGTAGAGATAAGAACCTAATTTTTTATCTAAAAGGTCTTCAAATCATTGTGAGCTTTCCCCCTTGACACATATCTATCTATCTATCTATCTATCTATCTATCTATCTATCTATCTATCTATCTATCTATCTATCTATCTGCATAAATAATGATTAGCACAAGTTCATGGGTAATACACCTCCTCATTCAGTATTGATTCTTTGAAGGGTATTCCAAGTTGTCCAATTTTGTTGGTCTGGCAGTATGATCAACTTTGTTTAATTTCCAACTCACAAATCTAGAAGTCTAAAATGTGGACAACCTCCTATACACTGCATGAAAAGTGGAATGAGTGCAGCGTGGCACAGAGCTCGGTGAGCTCCTGGCTGCGAAAGGACGGAGGTCGCACAATCCACCCAGACACCCCGCCAACGTTGCCGTCTTCCGCATCAGACATCAGGTCTATGGTGGCGGACTTCCAAAGTTCCCCCTCTTCCTCATCTAGCACACTCTGTCTCGCTTCCAGCAGCTGTAAAAACAATCAATAAAGACAAGCAGTACTGCGCGATGCACAGCGTATGGACACAACACATCTTTTAATGCACCTGAAAAATAGTCACCAAAAAAAGTCTTATCCTCTTTCTTCTCGGTCGACCCTGAGCTGAACTCTTCACAGCTTCCGCCTGCGGTGCAAGGTCTGGTCTGAAGCTCCTGCGTGTCTCGTAATAGGTCTTACAGGCAGCTGGAAAACAATTAAATGAGAGTGGTATGAATAAAAAAAACGTAAGTCACAGTAAAACAAGGAAGGACAAAACAGTAAAAGTTACTTACACACAATGTCGTCATTATCAGCATTGTGTAAATCTGGACTTGCAGACATAGCTCCGAGCAAATAGGAGGTCACAGCCTCGTTATGAGGCGAGGTTAGTCTGTGAAAACAAAATGTACGGTTAAGATCGGTATCTATTAACGTATCTATTTCCTTATACAGCAGAATGAAAGCATATTCTTTAAATCTTACCCTTGCTCCGGTTCGTAGCGCCTACAATTTGTCTCCGAGTTGTGAAGACGGTGTACTGCTTCCTGTAAATTACAAGACAAAAAAATACACTTTTATAAAGCAAATTACACTGGTTCTGCTCACTTGTTCTTTTACAAGGCTACTAGGCTACTTTTAGCTTGGGCTACTTAAAAAAAACCTTTGCTTTTAGGCTAATTTTAGCTTAGCTAGTAGTCACCGAACATATTCTTACCGCATTCTTGGGATTGTGCACCCTTCTTCTCTTCTTAGAGTTAGTCTCTCCCTCATAGTTTTTCGACTCCAAAGCAGCCAACCTATCCTCCATGGACCGCAACCTGGAGTTTACTGAACTGCTGAGTTGAGTGAACTGCTCATTCACATCGGCAACAAACAGAGTAAGCTGACGAGACAGCCCACTGATAGCATTCAGCAATTTCTTCTAATTATTGAAATAAATTGTTTTGTTGTACTAACTCACTGGAGGCTTCTTACCGAACATGGGGGAAGTTTATTTTGTTCCTGACGAACACAGTGTATATCACGATCACATCATCTCTCACAGTAAACAGGACTAAATTCTTCTTCTTTCCATCTATTGCATTCCCAACAGGTAACAACTTACTCATCGCCTCCTAGTGGATCTGAGGACAATATATATATATTTCTCTCAATTCTTCACAGTTACTACATTTGTGTATCTTTTTTACATAACATTTGCCATTGCTAATGACATACACAGTAATTCATCTAGCATACTTTAATTAAATAAATCAATTCAAGCTAAAATTTAAGAGTCTATAATGAGGCTTTACTGAGCCTGATCTTATTTATACCAGAGATTTTCTTACCTTTTGGAAAAATGTCACCTGGGGTAAAACTCCCCCTGTTACCCTGATTTGCATTTGTATAGCTCACAGCATTTTCATTTACATGTTAAAGCCTCCCCTAGAATTAGGGGGAGGGGGGTCATGGGGGGGGACAACTTCCAAGCAAGGCCCACGTCAATTTCCGACAATTCACGGCAGTTTTACATGTTGCCTGCAAATTGCAGACGAAAATCCCACTTTTCATGCAGTGATAGACAAACGCACATAAAGTGATTATATCAGACCTGAATTCTCTTGAAGTTGGCTCTAAGTGAGGATCGCTTACAATCCTATCATGCCCTTTTAAAGCTAAGCTAAATATTACATGCTAACTACCGTCTGTCTCTTAAAAAAAGTAGCTTAAGTTAAATGTACATTTTTACCAGCTTGTAGATTGAACTTTTCTCACCTTCCAAAACAAAATTGCAAGCCTTAAAATAATGCTAGTCTGTATTTTGTTTGTTTTACTTTTAGTCACTGGGTGGGCAACAAGAGGCTGAAATCAGCTGGCAGTGTTCAGTCGCACTCCCTTATAAACTACTTAATTAAATTCAGGTGATGGTTTATTTTTATCAATGCACAGGATATGGATTATTTAGACTTACATTACATACATTTATACAACCATAGTTTAGTTGTTACAATAGTTGACTGTATTTAGTAGAGGTGTTGAAATTAATCAAATAATTGATGCATCACGATGCAGACATGGACGATGCTGCATCGATGCAGTGGCCGACCATAATCGATTATAACGCAATGATGTCGCTCGTTAATTTTTCCGGCCGCAGCATAAACATTCAAATGAAAAATAACATTCTCAGTAGCCTAACCCATTTCATCTAGACCAGTACTTCTCAAATAGTGGGGCGTGAGAGACAGGGGGGACTGACGGGGGAGGAGAGATGGAGAAGTTTCTGACAGGAGTAAAAAGAAAAATGGAGGAGAACTCAGAGGCAAGAACAGCAAGTGACGGTAACCGGCATAAACTTAATAAGACCAGGAAATACTACAAAGCCTACATAGCCTTTGGGTTTACCGTGAATACGGTCGGAAATGAGGAAAGACCTGTGTGTGTTTTATGTTTAAAAACTAAAAAAATAAGCCACTGGACTTTTTTCATCGGATACTTGATGAGTATCGCCAACAGGCCGGTCATTTAGTGAGCGTGGCATCAGTAAATAAAAACGCAGCGTTATCCTCGTACAAACACCGCCACATCGCAAGGTGCAAAAAACCATCACACAATAGCAGAGGAACTAATACTCCGGCAGCACTGGACATGGTCACAATCATAGGTGAGAAAAGTGCTGAGACACTGAATACTGTCCCTCTGTCTAATGACACGATCGGGAGACACGTGTGTGTGTGTGTTTGTGTGTGTGCTATCTGCTGTGTTCAGACTGTTAAATAAAAAAAGTTGTTTATATCTTACTACTTGTAGTTTTGGATGAAAACAACCATATGAAATAATATAGAAAACTATTATATTGAACTATTACTACTACTACTATGTTTTAAAGAGTTCGGTCTAGACCTACTCTATTTGGAAAGTGTCCTGAGATAACTTCTGTTATGAATTGGCGCTATACAAACAAAATTGAATTAGAATTAACTATACAGTATCTTAATGCATTCCGTCAAGTCAAATGTCCTATATGGCTTTAATAGAAAAAATTATTTGAAGCATCGTGATGCATCGAGGAATCGAATCGAATCGAATCGCTGACATGATAATTGTAATCGAATCGAATCGGGAGATCAGAGACAATTCACACCTCTAGTATTTAGCAGATTGAACTGTACTTTCGTAATTGCTGCTGTGCAAAACTTACACTTACTTGCTTGTATTAATCGATTCAAGTGTTGGAGACTTCAGAAAAACCACAGCATTGGTTGTTTGTTCAAAAAGGTTTGTGTAGGATTTAGTGGAATCCAGTGGTGAAGTTGCGGATTGCAACCATTTGAATACAGCTCAGCCTTCCAAGTGTGTATGAGAAACTACAGTGTCCGTGAGACTTGTATTTGGTTTGTCCATTATGGGCTACTGTAGAAAAATGGCAGTTCAACATGGCGGCCCCCACAGAAGAGGACCTGCTCCCTCTGTAGAAATAAATGACTCATTCTAAGTTAACATATACACAACGATTCTCATTTTCAGGTGATTACACTAATGAAAACATACCTGTGAACAGTTATTAAATTATGATATGTTAAGTGGAGGCACCCTGTGATGTCAGGGTTGCCATAGGTGCACGTGTGTGGCGTGCACATAGACTATAAAATCTGATATTATTTGACACTAATTTATTGCAAGTGTAAATAAAATATAACAAGGTTAGACAATGCTATGCTCTGAACACTACTAAAATGTTAGTAAGTAATTCTAGATACTGTAGGCAGTGTGCAAAACGGCTGATGAGAATGGAAGCTCTCTGTAAGTGCACTCTCTGGTGTATCTGCAATTAAATGAGTAAATATAAAAATATTATCTGAGCAGGATATCAGAGCAATTTACATTCTGTTATCAAACGGTCTATACGATTTGCCATATCCACACAGTCACATCTCAGTGCTCCCATTACAATCTTCTCCCTTTAGAACAGTTTGCTCCATCTGTCTGTCTAAGAAAAAGTAGGCCTATGCAGAACGAGATATAATCTACAATTTATTGAATGGAACGCTTTTATAGAATCTTAAGATAAGTGAAATTAACTATATAATGTCAAAAACGGTGGGCAGGTTAGGGTTAGGGTTAGAGGGTCAGAGGAAGAGCGGGTCGTTCCTTAATCGAAAGGTTGTGGGTTTGATCCCCGGCTCCTGGTGCCACATGTCAAAGTATCCTTGAGCAAGATACTGAACCCCAAATTGCTGCAACTAGTAGCAATTTACAACTAGTAAAGTTAGAAAAACTACAACACCACACCGGATCTAGCTAGACCGGAAACAAAACAACAGGCACGCCGCACACACTTGTTTAAGAGTCGTAGATGTTATGTTTTGAGTGGATGGCGAGCACGAGACGCCGAAATGGATGAATTCCTTGTTGTCTGAAAATGTCAACAGGCTTGTCTGTTTGAGTAACTGGCTCAAAGCAAAGAAGTAGTAGGCTTACCTTTTGGTAACCGTTACTGTTCATTCTTTCTGAAATAAGAGGCTGGGTTGAGCCTCTGATGAATAAAGAGCAATAGCCTGACTGCTATGTTCAAAGCAAACTTGAGAAAAGTAATAAGCCATGGTTTAACTTATAGGCTGAGTCCTAGTTTACCTTACATGTACACTTAAATAATGGGACAAAAAGAAATCAAGGGACATTTAGAATAGATAAAAATGTGCGATTAATTGCAGGTTAACTATGACATTAATGCGATTAATCGCGATTAAATATTTTAATCGTTTGACAGCACTAAAATGTACATTTTTAAAGTTTTCCTGCTGGACACTAGATGTCCATTCTCAGTGTATCGGCACTGTTGGCTTCCAGTTTCTACATCACACTGTACAAGTTCTTCCAAACTATTTGTGATGTCACAAATTATGCTGTGACCCCACCTCTTAAAATCAGCTTTTTAATGAGCATAGAGAAAGTTTTCACTTTCAACAGATGAATGTGAAAAAACATCCTTCTAGTGTCAAACTCTGCACAGACATTGATCGGGTGTGGACTTTAAGGATGAAATTACACTGCTAAAATCAAACCATTTACTGCTCCTCTTTTCTAAACATGAGTTTAGAGTAACATACTAAACAGTAATAATGAATATGGATGTAGTTTTATTCAGTGACGAGTCATCCACTTACTGGAACCAGGCTGCTGTCACTGCTGTGGTAGCTGGTCAGGCTGCTGTAGGGAACTGAAGAAAGCCTACCCACTCCTGGTAGTCCACATGGCGACAGTCCTGCACTCTGGTTTCTTATGTGGAGAGAAGAAAAAGCCTTTGTGGATCACACTTCACCTAAGAATGTAGTCTCCTAAACATTTTAGCAAAAACAAGCTTTTCAAAATGAAATGCGTCATTTTAAAAGTACAGGACTGCAGTGGAATAATATAACATTCTCACTATAATCCCTAAAAAGCTTACTCTCTCTCATTGTATGAGAGTTTTTTTAAACAGATGTGATAACAGAGGTAGCATTAATCCTGGCCAAACACTGGCCGTGTTGAAAAATACTGCTTCTGCTACATGATAGCTGAATTTGTGCATAAAATATGTATATATGATCAACACTCACTAGCAACTTGTCAAATTCTCCAGTATTGGTCAGTGGCTTTAAAATATGACGCTGCAGGTATCCCTCTAGTGTCATTTCTGATTGGGCTCTGTGAGTTCCACAGGCTCAGTGGTCAAGAAAGAAACAAGAAATATGCAATGTCTGGGCTATAAAATTAAAGCTTGCATGGTTAATGTTGTGAAAAGGTCAAGAATTGTCATGTTTTCATTACCTTAGAATAAGCTGTTATCTACAGATGCCTCAGACCACCTTTGATGGAGTCTGCCCTGTTGAATTGCCATGCTTCTACAGGCTTTTTCGCAGCCACTGTAGTTTCTCCTACACACTCGTCAAAATACATGCGGTGTACAGTCTCAATCTACAACTTTACAGCTAGATACCACTATATCATACACACTGGTCCTTTAAAACATGTTTACTTTTGGTTTCATGTGGGACACGAACAGCAATCTCCTGGGTTAAAGTCCACCAAGTCCATTTTTCTTTTGTGATTTATGCCATGTCCAAAAATTATGCTGGATGATACCTACAGCGACGTATTTTGGGACTTGTTGATATGATACAGTTTAAGGTTGTGCTGTAATCTCTTTCAGTTACAGCTTTCAGTGTGAAAGGTTTGTTTAACAGGTATCTGTATGTGTTATGATCATGTTTTTTTTTAAATATTTGTAATAGGCATGTAATATGTGAAGCACTTAGAGTTAATCTGTTTGTATTCTGGATAACATACAAAGTTTGTTTTCAGGGCAGTAAAACTTTGAACAAAAGAATGTGTCATTCATTGTGTTCATTGTGTTGTCTGTTGGGAAACACCATTTTCACCACTCACATCATTCATTTTGTTAACAAAGGGTAATGAAATACATAATATATATAATACTAAATATAAGACAAGATATTGACAAGACAGAAAAGACTATGAAATAAAAACTGTGACAAAAACTCAATATGACTTTTAATTTCAGGTTTTAATCTCAGTTTTGAGTATATGTACATCTACAATTATGTGACAAACAGGCAACTCCATCTGCTCACTTGATGTATGTTTTTCAGTGTTTCTGATTCTTGGTAATTTTCTTGATTATATGTCCAGTGTTTGTTTTTAAAATTCCTTTACATCAGATTACTCTTAAAGCAACATTATGTAAGATTTGATATGTATGCGATATGCCCCAAATTGCAACACCACTGTGTTAAATATGGACATTTGTTATGAATACAATACTTATGATCAAAAACTAGCAAGTCGACCACTTTGCTGACTTGGTACAGCTTGTGTGTCTAAAGTGACCACACTGATTGTGTTTTTCTGCTGCTATCTTTCTACACTTTGTTTGCCTTTGATAAATACAGTATAATAAAAGCTTTGTAACATATAAATAGATTTAATCTGAAATGCACGAAGGTGTTGAGTTTAAAAATATAATTTTTTTTTTTCATCTCTTTGATACAATGTACAGATACAGCCATTAAAACTGTAGTGAAAGTAGTTTATGTTGCTCGTGTAATTTCAATGACTATGGATAGGTCTTTTTTACTATCTATTCTTGCTGGGTACTGCACATGGCTCATAATAGGCAAGACTTCGCGTAAAGCACCACTGCAGCCACAGATGAGACGCACAGCTCATGTGGGCAGTGTGGTTGCTAGCGAACTAAAAAGCAAGACATTCCGACACGCACTGCAGACACAATCAGTGTGGCCCAGGCCTAACATCAAACAAGTGCAACAACACAAGGGGTTGAAGGTAAAACTGAAATGTTCATATTTTATTTTACTTTTGTGCACAGAACCAAAATTTAACCAACCTCAAGGAAAACTTTGCTGACGGCAGCAGATATCAGACATCTCCCAAATTTGGACTTACCCAAAAAAATTGTGAGAGAGATATCGGAGGTGCACCACCCTCAGCAATGTTTATCATGAGGTTTTGGGGTCAAACCAACTTTCAGTCAGAATCCTCATCTGAGTAATGCAGGAAACAGTCCAGGTCCCTGCTTCCTTGGCACGTTTCTGCTGCCATAAGTACACTGTATGGTGTCAAGTCGGTGTTAACTTGGAAATGCAAGTTAACTCAACTTGAATATTTCCTTTGTTCAATTTAGTCTTCGAGTTTAAAATACCTCGTACTTAAACGTACTTAATCTACATTTATGCTACTTTCCATTTCAAGTTAAGAGAATTAAATTACTTTTTTTTTAAATTTATTTAAGCTATCTTGACTGATAATTGCAAGTTTTGTTTGCTTTAATCATAACACTAAATTCTTGCAGTTCATCTGTTCAAAAATATAACATTTATTTGAATATTGTTATACATAAGGTTCAATATTGGGTTTTGGTACATCTCAAACATGTCTTCTAACCCTAAAAACAGTGTGTAACATGTACAACATACCTAAAAAATCAGTCTCAATATTAATATAACATCTATAATCCATATCTAACGTGGTCTTAGGTTGTTTCTGCCATTATGCTGGAGAAATGAATCAGCGTAAATAACTCAAACAACTTATTATAGACAGACAGACAAAAGATAAGGGTTGTAGACAGACAGGAGGTATGGATTGAGTTGTACCCTCACAGACAGATGGTTGGGTTGTACATTTAGGGGGATCTATTTGCGAAAATGGAATATAATATGCATAACTTTGTTTTCATTAGTGTATAATCACAGATGGTATATGGTCTGGACTATGGACTAATGATTAGACAGAACAGTCCAGAGTTGTAATTGACTAAAACCTGACAAAATCAATTATTAAGGTGTCTAAATATAAATGAAACTCATATGGATTTTTTATCTCATGACCAAGATGAGGATTGACTCTAAAAATAGCCTAACAAACCATTTACCACTAGGCTCACAGTATGGATGGCTGAGTCACCCCATTCAATCTGCAGTGTGTTATTTTTAGATGCTAAGCAGCTCCTGCGTTCCTAATCTCAACCATCCTAGGCTGGATATGATCCACTAGGGGGAGGTGTTCAGTCTCTGTAAGAGCAAGGAAGTAAAAGCAGCAGCAGTTTAAATGGTAAATAGACCTGTACTTGTATAGCAATCAGAATAATCTCTCATACAGCTTCACATATGGATACACACATACAGGTGACACATCAAAACCCCATATCTTTCTTTTTTTCTATTTATTCTCTTTTCTATCCTCTGTCTACCCCTTTTGTGTTTGTTTTCCAAAGAAATCTCTTACTTATAAAGGGAAGGGAGGGGGAGGGATAAGGAAGGGAGGGGTGGAGATCAGACAAGGGGAGAGTAGGTACAGGAGCCAGAGGATGGCTAAGGAAAGGCAATCCCTGTCTCAGTCAAATAAATTGGAATAAAATAAAATAAAAAATAAATAAATATTAATATGTTTTTTTTCTCCTCCCCTCACTCCCCACGCTTTCCTTTCTTTCTTTCTTTATTTATTGGTTTTCTTTTACTCTTGTTGTATTCTTGTCCTGTATGTACTTTAGCCTGTAGCCTTTTTCTTTTTTCTATGTTCTCCATCTTTTCTTTTCTATTTTCTCAGCTTCCTCTTGTTGCTCCTCAACACTTACAAATACACACACCTAACACACACACACACACACACACACACACACACACACACACACACACACACACATATACACATAGACACAAACATTCAAAGACACACTGGAATCCCTTACAATAGGCTGCACTGTACCCATATAATCTATCCTAATGCTAGATTAAATTAGATTAGACTATACTTTATTTATCCCACAGCAGGAAAATTCATTCGTCCAGTGTGAAAAAAAATAAATACAGATAAAAGACAGATATAAAAGCTATGGTGAGTAGTGGTGGTAATTGAAAACAGAAACTACAACATGATCAGGTGGTGCAAGGTGTTGTAGAGTCTGACAGCGGCAGGGATGAAAGACCTGCGGAACCTCTCCTTCTTACACCGAGGGTGTAACAGTCTGCTGCTGAGTCTCTTCCTGTCCCTCTCCGTACTGCCCCCCCTCCAGCAGACCACAGCATAGAAGATGGCTGAAGCCACCACAGAGTCATAAAGTCCTGAGGAGAGCCCTGCACACTCTGAAGGACCTCAGTCTCCTCAGCAGGTGGAGGCGACTCTGGCCCTTCTTGTAGAGAGCATGGGTGTTGTCAGTCCAGTCCAGTTTGTTAATTAGGTGAACCCTTGTTGATTTATTTATTTGTTTGTTTTTTGTTTGTTTTGGTCACACAATGTGTTAAGTTTGTCTTGTCTTGTTTTACTTGTCTGTGCCAAATCTCTGAAAATAATAATAAAAAAGAAGACATCAAAATTGAGATCTAAAATGGAAAGAACATTACAATTCTGATGTTAATGTAGAACAGATGTAATTTTGATGTCTCACTGGAAATAACATTCCAATCGTGATATCATAGTAGAATCCTTCAATTGTGATATCACAGTAGAACATTCCACACTCAAAAAAATGAAACATTGACTTTAATTAAATTTATTTTGTCAACAGTTCTATATAATTGAAAACAAAAAAAAATTACTTTTGATCAACAAGAGATATTTAAGCTGACCCAAATTAAGTAGGTTATGTTGTATGGACTTAAAGAATATATTAAGATGCAATATAGTTTACATTTTCCACTTCAACATTAATCTTACTTGTAGTCATAAGATAATAAATTTAAGTTAAAATAATTAACCATAATTAATTCATTAAATTCCTTGTTTACTAGTAAGTTTGACATAATTCTAGTTGGTCAACAGGTTACACACAAATGAATTGGGTAGACCCAACATATTTCTGTTATTTCCTTGCACTTGATCCTAAAAAAACAAAACAATAGGGAAACACCATAACCATTCTGGCACCGTAACTGTAACGCGTGTAATTAGAGCTGCAACTATTAATCAAGTAATAGATTGACAGATTTTATTTCACAGTTTTGAGTCATTTTAGATAGATACAATTTTCTGATTTCAGTTCAGTCTCTTAAAAGGTTAATAGTATATGTTTTGTTTAGTCAAATATGACTTGAGGTTACACAAAAATGTCAATCACAGTTTAGCAAAGCCCACACAACTTTAATAGTTTGCAAAATAATTGCCAGATTAACCAATAATGTAGACAATCATTAGTTGCAGCCCTGCATATAATAACCTATTCTTTCAGTTGGCAACATTCTGGTCCAACACTAACATTTGTATACTACCTTGATGCAGCACCAAATAAACCTAGCAAACATCCCTTTGTCAATAGGTCTAACAAAACAACAGTCTTGCTGGTTTGAGATTTTTTTGTAACAGAATAATGGTTTTAACTTTCTAACAACATACTTGTTGCTGTCAACATTTATTGTAGAATTGAAGGTAGAGAAACCTATTGATGTAATCTATATCTATGATGTAAACATTTTAATAAACATGGTAACTCATGTTGCAGCATTCTTTTAAGGTAGTGGTAGGTATATGCAAGATGGTCTAACAATAAAAATTCCTTGCAGTTGTCTTTGGTGTAGATTAAAGGCAAAAAGTGTATGCAATGTGATCTGAAAGCCTAACTTCCCTAGTAGTTATTTTTGGTGCAGCTTGGTGTTAAAGAGTCCACAAAATATCCAATAAGTTATTAATTGTGATGTGGCATGGTCTTCAACATTCTTTCACTTGTCACTGAGTAGTACCATAGGATTATCAATTTTCATTTACAGTAGTTTACCAAAGTTTGCTGAATCAGTTGTTATTTGTCTGAAGTGTCCACAGAACATTCCACACCTAAATCAATGTTTGGCTCAATCA